TGAAGAAAAACGAATATACCCCACGAATAGCAACTATGCAGGTAGATACGTCTCACCTGATAGACCACATAGGAATCAAACTGACTACATCTGTGGAAAGAATTGTTGGAGAAGCTCAATATCTTCAGTCAAAACCAGACCAAGTACTGCTTGTGGGACACCAGTTACTTATGTGCAATTTCAATTTGAAACTGAAGAAAAGTAAAACAAGTCCAGAGTTGTTTTTCTGCAGTAAAATAACTGACAAAAAGTAACCATACAACTTTGAGTCTATCCCACCTGAATTTAAGAATCATCTCAAGAACAGATTTGAGGCACTGAGCACCAGCGATCAAATACCAGAGGAACTGTGAGAAGAGATCAAGGAAGATCAATGGAGAGAGGGAAATGTCATTCCAAAGACAGAGAAGAATAAACCAAAATGGATGGCAGAAGAGATGATGGAAATTGCATTAATGCATCAAAAAGCCAAAACAAAAGGAAAAATGAAACCATTAATTAAGCTATTAAACAGAAATAGATTTTTTTATTTTATTATATTTTGTAAGCTGATCAGAACAGCAAAGAATCAAAGCTTTTTCTGGAGGTTACTTTTAAGAATTTAAGAAAGTGGAAATAAATATATAGAGTGATTATAATTATGCCAGATGGTTATCTTCAACAGCCATACATGGAATTAAGGTATTAATACTTTATATTTGTACATAGTATTTGAAGCATTTTCCTACATTCAGGTTCTTATTAAACACTTTAAATAAGCTATATTTTTGCTTTGTTGATCAGAAAAGCTACACTTAAAAAGTTAAGCAGAGAAGAGTAGAAAAGTAATTAGTTGGTAAAGTCCTCTTAGACTTTACCTGCATCAGTTTTGCTTTTACTGTATATGAATTAATAAATATTTTTTATGATGACACATTCTCACGACATAACTATAATTACAAAGTGGTAATTATATATGGTCTGGGTATATGTTCCTCATGAACACAATCAAGCGCTCTGGGATTCCCATTCTTTTCAATATCAGCCACAATTTGTCATGATCCACATAGTCAAATGCCTATGCATAGTCAATAACACACAGACAAACATTCTTCTGGTGTTCCTTACTTCCAGCCAGGATCCACGTGACATCAGCAATGATATTGATGGTGTCACGGCCTCTTCTGAATCCTGCTTGAACTTCTGGAAATTCCCTATCTATGTACTGTTCCAGCTGTTTTTAAATGATCCTCAGCAGTATTTTTTTTCTCAGCAGTATTTAGCTTACATGTGATATTAATAATATTGTTCAATAGTTTCCACATTTTGTTGGAATGGGAACAGATATGGACCTCTTCCAATCCATTGTCCATCCAACTGCCCTCCAGATTTCCTAGCATAGGCTGGATCTGTTAATTGAAACAAGTCAGTTGGTATCTCATCAATTCCTGGGGCCTTCCTTTTTTGCCAGTGCCTTCAATGCAGCTTTCACTTCCTCCTTCATTTCCACTGGCTCCTACTCAAATGGTACTTACTGAAATTCTTCAATCAGTTCCTTTTGGTACAGTGACTCTATATTCTTTCCATCTTCTTCTGATGCTTTCTAGGTCATTCAATGTATTGTCCATACATCTTTCAATTTTTCAAGGTTTAGATTTTTCAGTTCTTTCAGCTTGAGAAATGCAGAACGAGTTCTTCCCTCTTTATCTTCCCAATTCCAGCTCTCTCCACCTTCCATTTTAGTACTTTGCTTTCTCCACTTGAGCTATCCTTTGAAATCTGTTCAGCTCTTCCACTTCAGCATTTCCCCCTTTATCTTCTCAACACTCTAGTGCCATTTTCAGAGTCTCTTCTGACATCTATTTTGTTTTTTTCTTTATCCTCTGTCTTTGTAATGATGTGTTGCTCTTTTCATGAGTGATATCTTTGATATCTTCACACAACTCATCCAGTCTTCGATCACTGGTGTTCAATGCCCCAAACCTATTCCTAAGATGATCTTGAAATTCAGATGGAATAGATTCAAGTGGTTTAAAATGTAAAAAGGAATGTGTCAGGGTTCTATTCTCTCTATATATCTATTCAGTCTGTATGCTAAGCAAATTATTTGAGTAGCTGGACTCTACGAAGAGAAATGTGGCATCAGGATTGGAGGGAGGGCTCATCAGTAACTGGCATTATGCAAATGACACAGCCTTGCTTACTAAAAGTGAGGAGGACTTGAAGCACTTGTTGCAGAAAAAGAAGAAATTCAATATTGATTGCTTCTCAATGTCAAGAAAACAACAATTCTTACCACTGGACCAATAGGTAACATCATAGTGGGTGGAAAACAGATTGAAACTGTCAACAACTTCATCTTACTTGAATCCACAAATTAACATGCTTGTTACCAGCAGCCAGGAAATCAGTAGACATGTTACATTGGGAAAGTCAGCAATTAAGGGCCTCTCCAAATTACCAAGGAGTAATGATGTCAGTTTGAGGACTAAAGTGTGTCTCATTCAGACCATGGTCTTTCCAGTCACTTGCTATGCATTTGAGAGATGGACAATGTATAAGGATGACAGAAGACGATGCCTTTGAGCTGTGGTGTTAGAGAAGAGCGCTGAACATCCCATGGACGGCCAAGAGAACAAATAAATATATCTTTGAGAGGGTGCAGCTAGAGTGCTCTTTGGGGCAAAGGTGATGAGGCTTTGCTTTACATACATCGGGCATGTTTCCAAGAGGGTGTATTCCTTGGAGAAGGACGTGATGCTGGGAAGGGGAGAGGGACAGTGGAGGAGAGAACACCCTCAAACAGGTGAACTGACGCAGTGACTGCAGCAGTGGGCTCTAATGGGTCAGGATGGCACAGGATAGGACTGGGTTCAGATCTGCTTGCTGTTCACAGGGTCAGTGTGAGTTATACTCGACTCGACAGCACCTGACAACAGCAATATCACTAAAAAGTAGCTAAAGCTACTTATTCTTCAGAATCTGCACCTTACCTCTGCAGCCTATTGGAGAATCTTGACTAGTTTAGGGCTAGCAGCCAAATCCAAACCTGAGAAATTTGTTACTTTTTAATTTTTCAGAGTCACTGAGAGTATCAAGAAAAGAAACACTGAATTAACAGAATAAAGAAATGTTAACTTACTTTTACAGTGACTGTATATACCCTGCAGTTACTGTTGCAGTCACTGAGTCAGTTCATCCTGTTAAGAGTCTTCCTCTCCTTCAGTGACCCTCTCCTGTTCAAGCATGATGCATGACTACCACACTGGGCCCAAGCCCAGCAGAGACTGTGAGAATGGCACAGGGTAGGACAAGGTTGTCTCCTGTTGTACGTATGTTCACAGTCAGAAGTCACTTGACAGCACCTAACGAACTAGGCAGCAGGTTAGGCTAGTTAAATTGTGTTAATCAACAACCTTAGAACTCTCAGCGACCTCCACAACAGATGTTTATTTCTTGCTCACATTACTTGTCTGCCAAGGCTTTGTTCCAAGTCCTATTCATGCTGGAACGTAAGCTGAAGGAGCAACCCCTTCTAGTCACAGACTTTGAGGATTCACAGCAGACCAGAAAGAGAGGCAGCTCAAATCCCTAACAACTTTGAAGCTTCTACTCAGAAGTGGCACACACATTCACTGACATTTCAGTGGCTTTTACTCACATTTTACTGGCCAGAGATGTTACACTGCCAAGTCTCAAGTCTACTGAGGAAATGTATTATCCTGCCACGGTGAGGGACAGTAAAGCAGTCTACTTTGATAATTCTAAGAATAGTTACCTGTTTATGAACAGTGCAGGTATATTGTGATGCTTTATTTAAAAAAAAAAAAATCTAAATACCTGAAGTCTAAAGGGCAATGTGGAAATTTTAACAATTAGGTTGAGTGAATTAAGAAGTCAATTAACAATCCACCTAAACCCAAACCTAATAATCTTCAAGTCATCTTCACCTTATAGAAGCACTATAGTCGAATTGCCTCATAAGATTTCCAAGGCTGCCAATGTTTATAGAAGCAGATTGCTACATCTTGCACCAGCAAAGCAGCTGGTGTGTTTGAACCACCAACAGCTATTGTTAAGGTGCAGCTGTTGTTCTCTCCCAGTCCAGAACAGACCAAGGCGAAGAAAAGCAAAGACACAAAGAAACAGTCCAAAGGACTCGTGGACAACACTGGCCTTTGTGACCTTCAGATCAGAGTAACTAGGTGGTGCCCAGCCACGACTGTTGGCCACTCTGAAAGGAGTCACAATAGAAGGTCCTAAACAGAGTGAGGGGAAAATATGGAACAAAATTCAGAAACATAAAAATGGTCGATCTTGCTGCCCTGATGAGAGATTGATGGTCATCGTGAGGCCATGGCCCTTAGTCACCCTTGGAGTCTAGAACTCAACCCAGTCCTGTGGCTCCACTCTCAGCGACATTAGATAGAGGCTATAAGGTGAACAATAGCCCCAGGACGCATTCCCTCTTAGAACAGTTGGTCACATGAGATCCACAGTGTAACACTGGCCTGGGCATAAAGCTCAGAAGACAGGAAGAGGTGGGATAGAGGGATTAATAGAGATGAGAATCACAGGGAAGAAGTGGGACTAGTGTGACGACAGTGTGCATATTGTAATTAATGTCATAAAACTTTTGAGTGGTTGCATGGAAATTTAATCTGATGTGTAAACTTTCACTCAAATCTTAATTTAAAAAAATAAAAGAGGTGTAGGAGAAACAGGCAAGATAAAGAAATGAGTAGGAAGGAGGAAATCAAGGAGGCAAGCATGTATACATACATAAAACTGCTTACAAGAACTGTTACTAGTAGATTTAGAAAGAAGGACTGGTGCACACTTAGGTAAGGTTCACTTTTCATGTCATAGTTTTCTAAATAATTCATTTCTTAACATGTAAAAAAGAATATTTTTTTTTTATGGTACTGGAGGGATAAAGTTCAGTTGTGGTAATTGTTTAAAATAATCCATTTTATTAAACAATCTCATTTTTAACTTTTGCTTTCTTCTTTTGTTGACAGTGTTATCAGCAAAGTGGTCCCCGCCCCCGAGGCTAAGCCGGCCCCTTCTCTGAACAGACCGAAAACCCCACCCCCCGCGCCAGCCCCCGCACCCCTGCCGCTGCACGTGACCCCTCCCCTGGTGCCTTTGTCCATCCTCACACAGGCCACTGCTTCACCTGCTTTAATTCCATCTCCATCACCGGCCATCTCCGGAGCAGGGAGTTCCAAAGCCCCCGTACGAAGTGTGGTAACCGAGACGGTCAGCACTTATGTGGTGCGTTGCATTTTCTTTGTACAATACTTTAGAAAAAACTACCTCCAATATTACTCTGTTACCATGAAAATGCCTTCAATTAAAAAGAAGAGTCATACATATATCATTATTGAATTTCTGAAGCCATTCTGGTTGGAAAAAGGTGTTCATGCTTTTGAAAATGGCTTGACTGAAAAGTTTATTACAGCATTCTGTGAATCCTGCCAAAGCGTTGTTTGCCCATATTGCTTTGAGATGTGAGTGTATATGTGTGTCCCACAATATCAATGTATACATCAAGATGTAAATTGTTAGAGCTGGCCATCAAGTTGATTCTAGTGTATTTAAGTCCCATATTGCATTAGACAAGAAATTAAGTTGTTAAGGTAAGATTATCACTGACCTTGGGGAGCTCTGGTGGCCTAGTGGCAAGGAGCTGCAACTACAATCCCAGAGGTGCACGGTTCAAATCCACCAGATGCTCTGCCGTGAAAGGAGGGACAAATCTCCTCCTGTACCAGTCAAATCTGATTTGACGGTACACACACATAAAAATAATAAAATAAAAAAATTTAAAAAAAAAAGATTATCACTGACCTAACATATTTATGGTCCAGCTAATGTTTCTGAGTAGCCCTTAGATGTAATAGCCCTAATTGTAGTATTTCATTGGCTAGAATCCAAAGTATGCCCATGCTTGCATATTAAATAAAAATGAACTTTTGGACCAGAGGGCTTCCTGAGCATTCAAGCATATCATCAGATTGTAAAACCTCCCATGTTGAGTGAGTGAGTTCATGTTGTCCTGTACATAATATCATTAGGCATGTCAAATCGGGATTCAGTGCTTGTTCTTTTTCAAACCCTGAATTCACACTATTAATGAAATACTTATACAAATAAATTATTTGCACATAGAGTGACACAGAGCACAACGAAATACTTCAACACAGTAGATACACCCAGAGTTCTGATACTGCTGTGACTCTCAACCATGTGGTGGATGGATGTGTGAGCCTAATGAGAGCTTTCTTTGTGAATATCATTATGACTAGAAGATGGAAGGGTAGGGCTTCTGATATTTGTTGTTATAAACTGTGTAAATATTAAATCTCCTTAAAGGTGATGTGGAAGAACATTTCCGCAAATTATGGAATATTTGTATGAATACAGTGAGACAGAGATGCTTGGAGCACAATGGTGGAGGCATTCAGCTGCTACCTGGTAGAAGGTTGGTGGTTTGATTCATGAGCCCCAAGTTGGGAGAAAAGACCTGATGATCTGCTCCCACAAAGATACTAAGATTTACCACCTAGAAAACCCCCAGGGCAGTTCATACAACAATGTAGTCTACAAAGGCATAGCAGAAATTGATTTAAAATGTACGGAGAGTGTGTATAAAAAAGACACAAAAAATTAACAAAATATTAAATAGTCAATTCAAAATACAAATAGAAGTATTATAAGCTCTGTAATTGTCAAATGAGTGTTCAGCGTACAGTTGCTGAATGTGTTTAATTGAGGGCACCTCACCCCAAGATGGGCTGATCAGGGAAAATTACACTTAACCTTCTTCACCTCCATTTCTTCATCTGTAATTGAGAAGTTTGTGTAAGTCTAGATGATCTCTATAGTATGTCCTGTCACTAAAAATTCTGATTCTCTGATGGATTTTGCACTGACTCCATGGAAATGAATCAGATTTGAATAAACGAAGTGGATGAAAAGCCTTCTTTCTCCTAAAGAGATGTTTTTTTTGGACAGAGTGATTTAGAGGAAAGAAATAGACTTTAGGAAAAAAGCTTTATTTCTTTATAGTACATCAAATATTTAATATCTTTTTGAAATTGCCTTCCAGAACTCTCACTAGTCATTTCCTAATGGCTATGACTTAGTTAAATGTTGCTTAAATTCTCTCAGCATTACTTTCCCTATTTCTAACCTATCTAAAGGTGGTTTTGTGATAATCAAGTGAAGTAAGATGTTTGAGAAAACTTTGTAACTTTGAAGTAGTGGGTGATAACTATTGTAAAAGCAATCAGAAATTTCAAATGTAGAACACAGTGTCACTGTGGCCTTTTGATTTCAAGAAAGATCAGCCAGCAGCAGGATTGACCATATACGATAGTTCAGGATGCTGGGTCAGTCTTAGCCACTAGACAGCTGGCACTGTGGTGATTAGTGTATGTCTTTCAGGTTACATTTTCTCTTTACATTAGACAAGCAGAAACCAGAGATGTAGATATCCAAAGATTTTTTTATTTAAGGATGTTTTCATAGCAACATAATTTGCCTTTGTTGAATTTTTTTAATGACAAGTCTTAAAATAAATGTATTAGTAGAATGAACATACATATATCCCCAATAATACACTACTTATACACAAAACTATTTTTTCCTGCATTACCTAGCCAATAAAGTATTTGAGAATAGAAGACTGTAATCTTGCAAAATTCATTTTTATTTTATTATAAAAACTTTTGAAAATCAGTTTTTAGTGTTTGCTGGTTTTGAATGCCTGTTCATAAAATTAAATCTTCAGAATTGGTCTTGTTAATGTGGAATTTGTGGAAATGGTATAATTATGAATTTTTCCCATTTTAATTGGTAAGTAAAATATAGTTCAGTACAAACAATATATGTAGCAAAATAATATTTAAATGTGCAGATGTTTGGCCTCTTGAGTCTCTTGTTTCATTTGCCCTTTAGTTGATTGTACTTCACTGAAAAATGTCATAAAAGGAGTGGAAAGTTACTTAGTAACAGCTCTTTTATATCCTTGATGTTATCAGCTAGTTCAGGAGAAGGGTTTGGCTAATAAGTAATAAGGTGATCCATGCACACTTAGCTGTCTGTAGAGCCCCATGCCTGTGACTGTGACTGAGGAAACTGCATGGAGTTGAGGCCTACAGCTTAGTAGTGTTGTTACTACCCTGAAGATAGTCATAGTCATACATGTGTTTACAATCTTTTTCAGATAAGGGATTGAAAGGTCATTTTGTTCAAGTGATTATGAAATGTTTTGTTTTTTATTATTTATAAAAGAGAATTTAGAATATCAAAATCCATTAGAAGTTACTTCTCCTGGGTCATTTTCTTTTTGAAATGATCTCACAACAGTGATGGCCATGTCCCTGGCTTCAGGAAATGAAGTAGTAATCTACTCTAAATATATGTAGTTTTATTTATTTGTTTGTTAAATTGCAGTATAAACTATGACTCTTACCCTGCCCTCTTATGGCTGCTTTTTTCTTAATATCAATCTCCATTTTTGCTTTCTCCTACTCCTTTCAAAAACCACCAGATAAGAGATGAGTGGGGTAATCAGATCTGGATCTGTCCGGGGTGTAACAAGCCTGATGATGGAAGTCCAATGATTGGCTGTGATGACTGTGACGACTGGTACCATTGGTAAGTGGGCTTGTGCTTTCCTGTCACGCTTGACAAGAGTTAAAACTCCAGGTTACTCGCTCACAGGAGAAATTCTACGGATTAGCTTAGTGATTTTGGTCTATTCCTGGATTTTTTCCCCCCAATTCAACTACTGTCCATATTGAAGAATGGTATAGGGAGGAAAATCTCTGAATCCTACTTCCCCTAATGTGATATTAGCATATTTTCTTTTACTAAAACCACCTACAAAAAATCCTAATTAAGGTGTAATTGATGGCAAAATAACATGACTCATTGGACTAGTGTTATTCAGCTAAATCATAATTATTTTGGGAACTCTGGTAATATATGTAGTCCATAGTATATTATACTGGTAACCAAATACTTAGTTTTGTTGTTGTTTTGTGCCTTCGAGTTAGAACTGACTCATAGCTAACCCTAGAACAGATTTTCAGAGGCAGTAAATCACATGAAAAGAGATTGCCTATCCTTTTCCTGTGGAATAACTGGTGGATTTGAACCAAGAACCTTTGGGATTGCAATGTAGTGTCGTACCACTAGGCCAGACATAATTTAGGCCATGATACTTAGTTTAGAGATTCTTTCTAAAAAGAATTTCAAAAGAGGAAGTACAGATACTTCCTTTTTTCCGTCTTTCTAGTAATTTCCTCTAAGAGATAAAGCATATGATATTAACGGAAGTAACTTCTGTATACATGGTATAAGCAGCAGTAATGAAAAGACAACTTTTTTTCAATATCTCTTCCTTCGAATCCACAAAACTAATGACACTCGGTTAAAATATTTGTAAATTCCAAACCAACCCCATTGCCCTGAGGTCTGTTCTGACTCATGCAGAGGAGACTGCCCATCTTTCTCCAGCAGAGCAGCTGGTCGATTCAAACTGCCAAACTTGCAGTTAGCAAGCTTAACCTACTATACCACCACCCTTCTTCCACAACTCCCCAAAACTATAGTTGTTGTTGTTAGTTGGTTTCCATCGAATTGAGTACAGCTCATAGCAACCCTATGAACAGCAGATCTGAAACCCATCCTGTCCTGTGCCATCCTCACACTTCCTGACACACTAGAGTCTATTACGGTAGTCACCCTGTCAGCCCACTTACTCTCCTTCTCTGACCCTCCACCCTTCCCAGCATCACATCCCTCTCCAAGGAGTAAATAGCACCTTCTAGCAACATGCCTGAAGTATGTGAGATGAAGCCTTACCATTCTTGTCTCCAAAGAGACAAAACAACTATGAGATATCATCTCACTCCAGTAAGAATAGCAAAATTTAACAGAACAGCAAACAACAAATGCTGGTTAGGTTGTAGAGAAACTGGAATGGAACCTTATTCACTGTTGGTGGAAGTGTAAAATGGTGCAACCACTGTGGAAGGCTGTATGGCACTTACTAAAAGATTTGCAAATAGAAATACCATTTGACCCAGCAATTCCACTACTGGGAATATATCCCAAAGAAACCATAGCCACCACCCAAGCAGATATACGCACACCCATGTTTATTGCGGCTTTGTTAACAATAGCGAAGAGTTGGAAACAACCTAAGTGCCCATCAACAAACGAATGGATAGAGAAGTTATGGTATATTCACACAATGGAATACTACACTGCATTGAAAAACAAGGAACTCATGAATAATCATTCAAAATGGGTGACCCTGGAGGACATTATGCTGAGTGAAATATCTCAGACAAATGGACAAATACTGCAGAGTGCCACTGTTGTAAAACAGGACTAACATCAGGGTTGGGAGGAGACTGAGAAGAAAGAGGGGATAAATAATGTATACTGCATTGAAACAGATGAGGGAGAGAACTGTTTAAAAGGGATATGTGATTAGATATTATTGTCATGACAGGAGTCGAGAATGAAGGCTGCATAGTAGAGTGGACTTGGGGGGAGGGATTGTATAACAATGAGAGAATTTTTCTTTTACTTTTCAAAGAGAGGAGCAAACTGGCGGGGGGAGTGGTGGGCAGGGAGAAAAGTGCAACAATGAAGAAATGGAAATCCAAAGTCTCTGTAAATTTTCATTAAAATTAATAATAGTAATAAAGTTTTTAAAAAAAAGGGACAGGCTGACAGTCAAACCAGGTCTCCGTCGTGGAGGGTGAGGATTATACCACTGAGCCGTGGGTAGGTATGCATTAGTTATGGTAAGGATTTTATTTTTGTTTTTAGAGAAATTAAAAACGACAGTAGTGTTTTAAATAGGTGATTTGGAAAAGTTTTCAAAATAATGCTAGATGTTTTATAGAAAATAAATTGTAAAAATAGATTCAGGATGATCTTTTACATGACTGTTAGAATGTCCTATCCAGTTGATGACAGCAGCTTGACCTATCCAGGGCAATATGATGGAAATGGTGATACTTGAATGAGTTCTAAGTGCTTGGGAAGCAAAAATCAAATATGTATTGTAATAGATTAAATAGGGGATTTTAAGAAGGAGGTGGGAAACTGTCTTACTCATGAGAACTTATATTTCCATAACTTTTTGTCCTTACTGTCATAGTCTTGCTTATAATAATTAAACTACTTCTGTAGAGTAAAAAACACACACACAGAGAAAAAAAAACAACAACACACACACAAAGAGACTCTAGCTACACCCTCTCTTAAGACATATTTATTTGTTCTTTTGGCAGTCCATGGGATGGTCAGCACTCTTCTCAACACAACAGCTTAAAGGCATCAGTTCTTCTGTCAGTCCTATTCATTGTCCAGCTCTCAGATACATAACAAGTGATCAGAAAGACCATGGCCTGAATCAGATGCACGTTAGTCCTCAAACTGACATCATTACTCCTCATTTGCTATACTGAAAGATGCTATAGACAATATATTGAATATATATATTCCCAGAAGGCATCAAAAGAAGATGGTGGGAAGACATAGAATCACTGTACCAAAAAGAACTATTAAAACTATAGTAGCTCTTAAAATTTCTGTAAATACCTTCACCTTTTATCTTTAAAATAATAAATAGCAAACTAGCTCTATTTCGTTCCATGATACATATCTGTTAAGATAAAAACAAAACAGCAGTTGCATAGAAAAATTATACAATATCTAAGTATCAGTATCAAAAATTATACAGTATCTAGAAATGTTTGATTTCTGTAATAAAATCTGTAGAAGGATAGGACAGAGTTCAGATCTGCTGTCCAGAGGTTCCTCAACTCCACAGCACCCAACAAAAAAAATAATAAAAGGGAGTGTATAATGTAATAATCCACATGCCCAATAATACTAGTAAGGAGTTTTTTTACTTTAATTTCTGATAAATATATGATAAAGTTTCATAATATTTCAAAATATTGGACGGAAAGAATATCTATATACAGCTTGCTTATTTGGTTGCTTTTTGTTTTATTTTGTTTTTTAATATATAGGCCCTGTGTTGGAATAATGGCTGCACCACCAGAAGAAATGCAATGGTTCTGCCCCAAGTGTGCCAACAAGAAGAAAGATAAAAAGCACAAAAAGAGGAAGCACCGAGCACACTGACGTCTTCCTGCAGCCTGAGCCACCTCATATCACATCAGGGTCTTTCCTGATACCTGTGGAGGGGAGTTGGCATGACTCTGCCATCATTATCTTCCACAGAATTCTTGAGGATAATGAATCTTGGAAGACTTGAGGACAAGAATACATGAGCCACTCTGGCTTTTTCCCTCAGGCAGTGGACTGGCCCCTGCGGACTAAATGATAGTGTGATTAAAGAAAAACTCCAGTAGAGGCATGGCATAGGGACTGCCATGTCTCCATTTTTCTATTACCAGTGACAAGTATTATTAATAAAAATTTTTTAAAAAATCATACATCTTCCCCCTTGATTTTCTTTACTCTCTCCAGGGCCTTTTCATTAAGGTATTATATGAGAAGATAATGTGTTCACTGTAATTTAAAGATAATATCATTAGTCTCTATACAGTTTTCAACTTCTTTCCTCCTATAGTAAGATAATCATAATAACATAAAGGAAAACTCCGGTTGGAGTATTATTGGTAAATATTTTTGTGATGAGAATATATGACGCTTCCCTTCCTCATTTTTAGTACTAACATGTAAAATGTTCAGGCTTTTGTGAAATACCTTATATTTTTAAAAGGATAAAAGGGAGGAGGGGTTTCTATCATGTCCTGTTTGGTTTTGTGCAAATTATTTTTGTTTCCTAGCACATATTTTATATCTTTGTTGCATTCTAATTTTGTCCTTAAAACTGCTGGAGTCTCTTCTCACTGCTTGTACATTTCATCAACTTGTATAAAACTCTTCATACTAAAGGATTTCCCCTAATGTAAATAATAAATATTTATGAAGTAGTTATTTTTTAAAATTTTTATCATGCCTAATTCTAGCTTTCTCTGGAATCTGCTATGATTTCAGCCAAGTCTGTAATTACTGCTGTACATAAAGAAGGCTAGAAAAAAAGAGCCATAGTTCAAAGTCACTTACCTGGAATTGAACCTGTGCAGTGCCCCACCACATTGGGAGGAAGTGGGGGAGGACCCTAGCAGTTGGAAGGAAACAAGGCAATTTTTATCTGTAGGTATGATTTGAAATTGTTTTGTTTGTTACCTATTTTGTTCCTGTACATTTTGTTGATTTTTATTAAAAGGACATGTGGATTCCATGAAAGTAAAAAAAGAAAAAAATACTGTAGTATTTTGTGTTTATATTGTTTTATTTCTGCAAATCTGTTCATTGATATTGTTTTTTAAGGCTGAAATGAAGTATATTAAGAATTTTTTAAGAAAACTCAAGTTTCAGGGTATCACAAAACTCTATTATATAACTATACTGCCCACTATTTATTATGTGTTATAGATGTCTTGAGAGGTAAACCAGATATATTATTTTTAATGTAAAGCATCAAATTTAATTTTATTAGCATATTTTAGCAATGTTGGAATAAATATGGACGCTTACTTGATTTTGAAATAACCTCAATTTGAGCTAGTATGATGGGTATCTTGAATGCCAGAATATGAACATTGATCCTAATACAAATATATTCATAGAAACTGTAATTTTTTTAAAGATGCCAAGTAAATTAATATTAGTGTATAAATTAGTTCTATTTTAAAACATAATTGTGTAGTTAGAGAAATGAGGTTTTCTGCCGTGAATGTTAAATCACACATTAGTGGAGGTGGAGCGACCAGTGAAGAGGACAGTATTACCCTGCTCTCCTTGTTTCGGAGGACAGAATGCTTCTATCCCTGAAGGGGGGGGAAAAAAAGATAAAGCAACAAAGCATATATGTTAAGATATGTGTTTTTGTTTTATTAATTTGAGATCATTTTAAATACTTTATACAATATTTTCACATGCACAAATATACCTAGTAGTGCTTTTTTGGAGAGGGATGGGGGTGGGAGAATTGCAAAATAAAGATTATTGGCTATTTCATAGTTTGCTTTTCCATTTTCTTTATTTAGGATTTAGTTCTCTGAGGCATGGTCAGTGGATCTAAAGTTGCCACGTTTAAGTGAGCAGGTCATGCTACTGAAATAAGAATGGAGGTGCCTATATATATAACTTTTTCTCCAATCCTCCTGTCTGCGCGACTTCAGCCCATACTACATTTAAGGAATTTCAATCAGTTTGTTGTCCCTTGCTATTTCATGGTTGCTTTCCTAAATCCAGTTCATGATTTTATAAATGGTCTTTGCAATAATAAAACCAAAGAATCATTTTCAGGGGGCTGGATAGCTCAAGGGATTAGTAATGGAATACAGAGCCTTTCACCTCTAGGTCAGTGAGTTGAATCCAGTCCAGGTCACTAGAGACCAAAAGTTGTTACCATCTTATGACTGTTCAGTCGCCTGTGTGAAATGAACTGGTGGTCTCAGCCGCTAGTGGATGTCTGTCCAGGACATCAACCAAAGGAAGTTCAAGAAATTGAAATTGGGGGGAGGGGAGTTAGACTAGAACATAAAATACCCACTATTAGAAAAGTTAGAGAGTTACGCATAGTCATTCTCCACAAGAGGGAGGGGAGAAAGCAACTTATGCGTGCTTTGGGCATGGCAAAGAGAAAAGATTCCTTAATGAAGCTGAACATGATAGGAAAAGAATAGTCTTGTATTGGACGAGAGGGGGGAAGAATAGATTGGAAAGATTATTTAATCAGAAGAAGAACTTTAGGGGAATAAAGAGTGGAGTTTGTCTCGAAGAAGAAGAAGAAAAAGCTGCAGAAGGAATTTGAGGAGCTGTAAGTGAAAGATTTGAGAAAATGAAAAGCATTACTCTGAAGGTTTAGGAGTTTTCTAATTTTAAATAAAATGGACTGCTTCAGTTTATTTCAGTACTATCATTTGGCCTTGGCATCAACACTTTATAAAGAGAACTAGTCAGGAAAGAGAAAAATAATTGCCCTGACGAGTGATCTGATTGGAGGAGATGGTATTTAAAAAACAGAGACACCCTCACCCCAGGAAACTGAGAAGCCCTTCTAGCGAGATAATCCGCCTTCAGAGCCATGTGTTGCTCGCAGAGTATCATTTCTATGGCTGACAAGGTGTTTCTCTGCTGAAGGTGTCTTTAGCTAAGTATAGTAAGGATCTTTATCCTCCAACAGATTTGTGGTTCCAAATGTCCTGAAGAAACCAGAGGGTATCAAAGTATTCTGACTTGGTCGGGCTTTTGCAGAGATAAAATATAATGCATTACTGTATCACCTAAACCACTTTGTTCTCCTTTCAATGGGACGATTAAACAAAGGCCTACTAACCAAATTAAGGTATAAAATGAACACAGATATGGAAACCTTGCCAGTAGGAATGCTAATGAATGAAGTTCACTAAAGGCATGCTGGCTAAGTTTCCAATACAGATAGTTTTATGGCCAATCTCTCTAGATCATAGCCGTTTTCTTTAGAAGTTCAAGTCTAAAAGTGGATGAGTTACCTTGACAATAGAATGGAATAGATAATGTTCTGAATAATGTTTCCTGCCACAATGGTATCAGTCATTCTGTTAGGAAACTTTCTTTGAGGATCTTGGATTAGTTGTATCCTGAAAGTATAAAGTAACTATTAATCCATGTGTGCAGACCAATAAATGACGTTGTAATTAGTTAGCTAGATGGGCAGCTAAAGAGTTAATTTGATTAGGCATTCACATTTAGTTTACATGTGAATTATTAAAAACAATTGCTGATGACCATCCTGGGAAGCTGAGCTTTTTGTCTTAAGCCCTTTGATCCAGCATATGCTAAGCACTTCTTTGAGAAATTAGGAAGTCGCAGTAGATCCATGTTCCATTTTAACATTAATCCATGTTCTGAGGTTCTCCTGAGAATGGTATTCCATCGTATTGCAGCTGTTCCACAATATACCATGTACTGAAAAGTGCTTCATCAGTCTGTACAGGTTGCAAACTTGTCCCCCCCCCCTTTTTTTTTTAACATGATCTCGCTAGTCACCTTAGCCTGCAAATTATTTTTCATTTTGATACAGTAGTTACATTTACAAAATAATCAAAAGCTTTTAGTAAGTAGTATATGAACTCTTGGTCTCGTCCACAGGAAGCTGCCCTGCTAACCCAAAGACTATGCCTCTGGTGATTTGGATTCACCAGCATCTCCATGAAAAAGAGATGAGCAATCTCCTCCCATGTATTTACAGTCCCAGAAACCCAATGGAAAGTCAGTCTTGTGTTGATTCCAGCTGAAAAGCAATGAGAACATAGTTGTTGTTAGGTACCATTGAATCAACTATGACTCTTAACCAACATTGTGGACAGCAGACATGAATCTTGTCCTGTCCTGTGCCAGCCTCTGATATACTTGAGTCCATAGTTAAGAGTCACAGTGTCAATCCATGTTGCTGAGGGTATTTCTCTCTTTCACAGACCAGCCACCCCCTAACAACATTCCCGAAATAGGTGAGATGAAACCTCACAGTCCTTGCCTCCAAGGAACACCCTGGTTCTTTATATTATCTTGCTTCTAGAATGATCTGCTAAATAGAATGAATAGGTATGGCGAAAGGATATTACCCTAACACACACCTGTCTTAACTTTAAACCATGCCCTGTTGCCCTTGCTCGGTTCCAACGACTGCTTCTTGGTCTACGTACAGGTTTCACATGAGCATATCTAAGTGTTCTGCATATGTGTCTACATGAAGATACAAAAAATACCTGAATGTGTATATAAACTAAGAATTAAAAGTTGGACTTTACAAGCCGATCCATATTTTAGATACTTTCTTAACACTGAGCAATGATTTCCTAGTATATCCTTAGAACCTAACTCTAATTTAACTTCTTCAAATTTTATGAGTTTTTGTCTGATCTTTAATTTTTATTAAAAATTAATGAGACTATCTTAAAAAAAAAACACAAGCATAAAAAAATGTCAATTTCTGGAATAACAAAACAGGAGCTATTGCAATTCAAGGCCATATCATGTGTGAGGAGTGGGGCTGCACCCTATGGGATTTTCAAGGCTGTGACCATTTAAAAGCAGATCCACTGGTCTCTGGGTTTGAATTGCTA